AAATTAGATGAAACTATTGCCAGTAAATTACGTCGTAAGAGTAGTATCAGAATTGGATCAGTGTATGATGAGAATCACGAGAATAAAAGATCAATATAAAAGAGATTGTCAGTCTATAAAGAATGATTTATTATAAAAATAACATTGTTCTATTCACATTTTAACCTTTTTTCTTTATTCAAACCTTGCCTTGTATAATTAATGCTTTTCCAACTTCTACTTATCTTCCTACTCTTTTTACTTCTCTTATTCCTATATTTTCTTTTGTCTTCTTTCATGCACGGCATCTCTTCCTTTTTATTGGAATTCAATTCTTGCCAGTTTGAATAGGTCAACCTAAAATCAAAAGTCATTTCATACCTTCACCATATTTGAGAAGTAGGGTTTAACCCATTCAATATTGATTTCACTAATCAACTTCATGACTCCCCTCACTTAGGATGTACCTCCCAATTCAGTGAATATCACAGTCCCAGGATATTGCTGGATTACTGTATATACACTCTGAGGATCTGTGTCTACAACTGTGCCTTCAGGATACACCATCAAGTAAGTATCTTCACCATTATGCATCTTACGAGCAGTATTAAAATAAAATCCAGAACATAATGCTAATTTAATACTCTCATTGATATTCCACTTCTTTGAATCCTTCTATTTTCTAAACAACTTATAAAGATAATCCTATTCATAAAACTATATACATTTCTTTTTACTAGTGGCTTCAACTAATTATTATAACTATTAGCGAATATTATCAGCCTACTTCAAAGACCTTAAATTCAAAAGAGTATCCTTGGCAAATTATTCGTTAAATGTAGCTTATTTCCATTCTGAGAATATTTTCAATAAACTCAAGTGATCTCCTGCAGGATCAGCATGTTGAGATTGAATTTCTTAGAGCTTTTAATATCCATCAACATCTACTCTGGTAATCCTCTGCCAAATGCTTTCTGTCGACAAAATAGCCACAATAGCACTCATTTCACTTGAACATTCCATCATTTTGGAAGTTATCAATGCTTTTGCATAACTTGGTTCCAAGGGATATCTAGACATTTCATAACCCATTGGAGTGATATATCCATCCTCATCAATTGCTTATATTAGATATAATTGTCTTAAAGATTGTAAAATAGCTTCTTGAGTGGGTTGTTCCATAAATTCAAATCTCACTACATCATCTATTCCCATTGATTTAAGTAGCAACATCACTGATGCTAAATTAACTCTCATGATTTCAGCTGTTGTGTGTTCTGAAAGTGACTCATAAAACTACTTAGAAAATAATCGATAACATTTTCCAGCTTGTGTTCTACCTGCTCTACCTGTTCTTTAAATCGCTTGAGTCTTAGATATAGGTTAAATGATAAGAGAGTCCATGCCTGTCCTTGGATTATATACTTTTTATTTAACATAACCAGTATCTACCACAAATCCAATATTATCAATAGTCAAAGAAGTTTCAGCTATGTTTGTACAAAATATGATTTTTCTAGTATGCTCATCAGCTCTTTAAAATACTTGACTCTGATCTTCAGAAGTCTGACTACCATACAATGTGTACAATAACACACTTGGGACTTCAACTCCTGAGTTTAACACTTCTGCTAATCTCTCATAACAAAATTTCCTGCAAACTTCGCAATCCTCACTTCCAGGTAGAAATACTAAGATATCTCCTGGGCCTTCATGCAAATGCATTCTGATCGCAGCATTCACAGCATCATGATTTCTCTTTTACTAGGTTATATTATGTTCAGCATATTTCACTTCGACAGGAAATGACTTACCATGAACTTTAACGTAGGGACATCCTTCAAAATAGCTCTTAAAGATGTTAATATTAAGTGTTGCAGATGTTATGATAACTTTTAAACTTCCCTTCCTTCTCTTTGCAGCCGTCTTCACTAATGCAAATAGAACATCCGTATAAAGAGATCTCTCATGAGCCTCATCGAGAATTACAACATCATATCCTGTTAGATCCTTATCCTACAAACATTCTCTCACCAATATACCATCAGTCACATATCTCAATTAAGTAGTATTCGTAGTGGAATTGTCAAACCTTATAGAATATCCGACTTCCATGCCTAGATTTTGCTATTAATTGATATATATGATAGAATGATACATTTCTCTCGAATGCTACTCTTTTAGCCATTGATATGGCAGCCATTCTCCTGGGTTATGTTACTACTATCTTTAAATCAGTTGAGTTTTTTCTATCCTCTGGAATAAACGGTTTTTGCTTCTTGGACAAGAATCCTTAGACTTTAGGTTGTTCTTTTTCTTCCACTTATTCCTCCAAGAACTTTTTTCTTTTTTCACAAATGTTCAATCTGAACTCTTCATCATCCAGAAGATACTGCGGCAATTATGTTGATTTACCTGAACCTGTATCACCAGTTATGATTATAAAGGTGTTTTCCAAAACCTGTTTCAAGATCTCTGATTTGAATTCATTTATTGGTAAAGTTGCTCTAAATTATTGAATTTCTTAACTCATTTAATTAATGAATACAAAAATCCAAGAAAAAATATTAAATCCAAACTTCATTCAAAACACATTCCCTCTTAATGTTAAAGAATTAAGCGAGAATAATCCATACAGAGCCATGAACTTTAGTTATAATTTCGTATATATAATTAGTCAATGGAATTTGGAAATGTGCTTCCAATTATCTGGAAATATTAGATCCACTTAATGGTGATAAGTTCATTCTTGTACCAAACAATTTGGTACTTCATTATACTTAATATTCTAGACTGAAGATGAAATCAATGAATACAGAGATGCTGCCAAATAGTGTCCCAAATCTGGTCTTCACAATCCACTCAAAAATCCTGATAGATATAATCTATATGGAGAAGTCTTTCACAGAGCTTCATTTCTTTTAGGATTACCCTAAGTTGAAGATTATTTTGTCCATCTTATCCAAAGAGTTGCTCCAAAAAGTGACATCCAAGCAAGAGGAGAAGTCAAAGTCACTCAAAGATTCCTAATGAATTTCTCTGGCGATCAATGTCGTTTCCTTACTAGATCCTTTAATGTAAGTGGTGACACACAAGGATAACAATCAAGTGGATATAGATTCCCATACGGACATGTTGCCATTATTGCACCTTTTAATTTCCCTCTTGAAATACCTGCACTCCAAATGTTGGGAGCTTTACTTGCTGGAAATAGATTGACCATCAAAGGAGATCAAAGAGTATCAGTTGTTTTGGAAATGTTTCTGAGATTGCTTCATTTGGCTGGATTGCCTCCAACAGATTGTGATTTAATTCATTGTGATGGTCCCCAAATGGAATCATTGCTCAAGAGAACCAATTTTAGATTATTGCAATTTACAGGCTCTTCTGGAATTGCTGAAAGATTGTGCAATGTCATGAATGGAAAAATTAAAATTGAAGACGCAGGATTTGATTGGAAAATACTTGGACCAGATGTCATTGAATTTGATTATGTTGCCTATTAGAGTGATTAAGATGCTTATGCATTCAGTGGTCAAAAATGCAGTGCTTAATCAATCTTATTTGCACATAAAAATTGGTATATTTATCATCATTATCTAAGGGTTCAAGCTGGAATTCTCGATAAAATTAAACTATTGGCAGAGTAGAGAAGTCTTAAAAATCTAACTATTTGTCCTATTCTTACATGGAACAATCAAAGAATTCAAGCACATCTTGATAAACTTGTGGCCATCCAAGGAGCTAAAGTTCTCTTTGGTGGAAAGCCTATTAATGAATAACATCAAATACCAGAATGCTATGGTTCCTATCTACCTACAGCTGTTTATATTCCTTTATAATAAATCAAAGAGAATTTCGAGTTAGTTACAACAGAAGTATTTGGACCATTTTAGGTTGTTACAGAGTATGAGAATGAAGATCATGTAATTGAGATACTTGAAAATATACCGCATAATCTGACAGCTGGTGTAGTGTCTAACGATATCAGATTTGTTTAAAAGATATTAGCTAATACAATCAATGGAGTCACATATGCAGGTATCAAAGCTAGAACTACAGGTGCTCCTTAAAATCATTGGTTTGGACCTTGTGGAGATCCAAGAGGTACTGGCATTGGCTCACCAGAAGCTATAATCTAAACTTGGACCACTCATAGAGAAATTATTATGGATATTGGAACAACTCCAAAAAATTTAACATAAAGTTGAAATTGTTTGTTTATTAAATAAATAAGAACATCCAATTATTTTATTTTTGTTTTAATCATAATATTATTATTATACGAAGGACAATGGCAAATGAAGTATGAAAAAAATGTTCTTAATTTAATTTTTTTAAGCAAATATTTAACTTTATAAATTACTCGTATTTCTTGTCTATTAAATCAATAAAATACAAAATGTATAACTTGATTTAATAGAATAATGATATTATTTACTCAAAGTTAATTTACAATATGAATATCTTATAATTTCTGATAATCTAATAAACAAATTGATTTTTTATTAAAAACTATTTGAGGTTGAAAGAAAAAATCGATCTATTTTTCGAAATAGTTTATCTCTGATAAATGGCCATCATTTTGTTAAATATTATTGAGAAATCTACAATAATTTATAATATTTCATATGCACTACTTAATTATTTGTTGTATGACTTTTATAAAGTTTTAATAAACAAAATTAAATAGTTTTCAATGGTGCAATTAAATACATTAATAAAAAAGATATCAATGGCTGAGTTTTCTGCCTGTAATGATCTGAGCAAAGTAAAATGGAATGATATTCATACATGAATGATAGTTATTAATGAATTTATGAACAATTTCACAATTATTTTTGAGTATATATTGTGATAAATATAGAATTTATTACGTATATTAATGTTAAAAAACGCTGTTTTATTTATCAAAATTTCTAAGGAGAAATTCTGAATGTAGAAGATAATAATTTTATCGATTTTTTGAATATATACACAAATATTGAAATATAATATCATCATTATTTAACTTTCTATAATCATATAAAATATCTTTTTTTGTTTGGTACAATTTAAAATTCTTTAGGCAATTTTTTATTTCTTACACTTTATTGACTTTGAATATCTTATTGACAAAATGTAAAACAAAATGGTGTGCAGACTCCATCGTTTAAACTAAGTTTGAATTAAGAGAAATAACTACTTATCGATCTCTAAAGAGCTTTTAGCTTATTAAATCTAAGGAAGTTTTTAAGATTTGATTTCAGTGCTCCTTTCTGTGTTTATTATAGATCTTCTCTTTGGGGAGTGTTTTTTACTTAAGAAATTTATCAATTAATCCTTGTCTTGGTTCTGTTTCTGCAATTCAATATTTTCTTAGAGCAAATATTGAATTAATTGTGAATGTTCTTCTGAACTTTTGGAGGCATTCGACTTTGATTCCTTATAGGGGTGGTTTTATTTGGAAGATGACGATGTGCAACTGGTTGTCTACATGAATTATTATAGTTATACTTACATTTATAGAAGAGACTGTCTTCTAAGAGCATTTGGAGCTGGGAGGAACAAGAGTCTTCTCCTTTGCCAATGTATCCAACGTCTTCTTGTTTAATTATAGCTTTAAAGATGGCTTCTTTGTGATTTGAGATGACATTCGTTATGATGATGTAAGTGAAAACTGAGGAGAAAGAGGAATTAATATAATAAATATTAAATATCCATTTAATAAAAGTTCGATTAAATTTTAAACTGGAATTATTCAAATTGTTAAGACTAAGTCAATAGAAATCCCTAAAAATTTAATTTCAGAGTATTTCTGTGAATACTTCCATATCTATACCCTCAGCATCCCAATACAGGTGTGATAATAAATTATCCATTCTTATTGTCTATTAGAGTTCCTTGAGTATTAAGGCACCCCCAACTTTTTGTAATTCTAACACTTAAGATCATAGTATTTCCTTTATAACTAGAATTATAGGAATGTATTCTAAATTTAGTAGAGAAGTATTTAAAAATTCAAAATAATAAATTACTAATAGAATATTTAATTAAATTACTCAATCAATAAAACAAGCTAATTCTCATGATTTGTAAGCATGAGTTTCTAAAAATATTCCCTGATAAAAATCCCTCGAGTTGCCTAAAAATCATAGTTCCAATTAACTTCAGAAAAATCATTTAGTAAAAACTGATAAAACAATTGTTAAAAACACTGGAAAACCATATTATTATGCTAGTAATAAATATACATATTCTGTTGGAACTATTTTTTGAATTACGCTATAATTAGCTAATCACAAAACTTAAATAATTTTCTTAAGGCATCAAGCAAACTCATAAAATTTTAACATACTAATGTTGATCCCCATTGAATTTCCATTAATTTGTCTGAACTCAAGACTATCTTAAGTATGTGATATACCTAAATATTGGCAGCATTCTTATTCAAAAAATTAAGGAATCAATCAGTAAACTAATATACTAATCTGAATGATATAAAATCCCCTTAATTGAAATTTTATAACACTTCCAAAATATACATTATTCATATTCCTTCTTAAATTTTATAATAAAATCATCAAGGTCACTTTAGAAAATCTAATTTATCTATTTCATATAGTTATTTTAATAAATCATATTATTGTTTCAAGTAATCATAATTTTCCTTCATTTATTATGTAAATATTTAAGAATTTCAATATCTTCAGATCAGTACAATAAGCAATATAACAATATGATCGGAAGGTTAACAAAAATCGAATATCAAATAATATCCACAAATGTTTATTTAATAATTGTAATTAATTTTCCATTTCATAGTATTTATGTTAAATATACTTACATTCTTGAAGCTTGTGTACATTAGCTTCTAAATTAAACAATAGTAATAATAAAATGTAAATTTAGCTTGCCAAACAGAACAAATAAATTGGTACGTTATTATCTATTAGGAATATATTAATACAATAATAAGAATTGAAATTTTATGGTATTCATCAAATAAGTTAATTATCATTAATTTTCGTACTTTAGTGACTGAATAGAAAGTTTAGCGATAATATTTCTCTAGAGAAGTTCAATAAAAGAATATAATCAAAGTTTTAACTGAACCAAAGATTAAAATCCCTATTTAGTGCAGAGTGAATAACCAAAAGCTTTATATTTTTTTAATGTAAATGAAACTAATTAAATAATAATCTGCTTCAGCTTTAAAACCTAGAGAGAAATAAACAACACAAGCTTTAAACTAACCAGTTATATACCCTGTTGACGGCTATAAATTATTTAATGAATTGTCTATTGGAGGATTTGGTTGTGTTTATAAAGCAATTGAAATGAAAACAAATAGGCCTGCTGCCATTAAATACTCAAAAGAAAATATGGAAAAGGAATATAGGATTTTGAATTAATTACAGAATTGCCAAGGAGTTCCTTAAGTCTATAATTTTGGGCAATTAAATAATACCTATTACATTGTAATGGAACTCTTAAATGAAGATATGCAAACTATTTCATCTAAATAAAAATGTTTTTCAATAAAAACAACCCTCTTGATTGCTATTAAAATAATTCAAGTTTTAAGTTAAATTCATAAAAATGGTATTCGTCATAGAGATATCAAGCCATAAAATTTGATGACTAAATATTCTGGTATTCACAATGTATGATTAAGATTCAACTATATATTTAATCGATTTTGGGATTTCGCTACTTCAAAATGATCCTTTACCTGATAAATACGTTGATGGCACAATTCTATATGATCCTCGCATAGTGCACAAACGTTAAGAATATCGTTTCATAGATGATATAGAAATGGCAGGTTATTGTTTAGTCGATTTATTGAAAGGTAAATTAGTAATCAATAAGTAGGTCAATTGCCATGGTATAAATATATCGAGGGTAGAGAATCTCGAATAATGTAGATGAAGCAAGAATTTCTGGATGCTAAATCAACTAATTAGCTTCCAATATATCCTATATTTTAATTTGTTGAGTAAAATCAGAATAACGATATACCCGATCACAACAAACTAATTACTTAGTTAAGAGAAGTGTTATAAAAATAGAATATAATTGAAGATTACATATATGATTGGTCATCCAATGAATTATTACCAACTCCCCAATTTAAAGCCAGAACAGTAAGTTTCCAAAGTTAAAAAAGCAAATTTTAAGCAGAGATCTAAGAATAAAATATAGCTTTAGAAGGGGAAATACAATTTGTTAATGATTAAAAATATAAATTTATGAAATGACTTATTTCTTAATTATTGTAAAATATCACTGCTTGAAAATTCAATTAAATATTTTTTGTATTATTTTTAAAGGATTACATATCATTAATAGTAAATATTGATTAAAATAATTGTTATTTATGAAATCTATTAGAAAATAAAGAAACTAAGATTAGTTTATTATCTACGTTATCTTAAATATTATCAAAATGTAATATTAGTAAATTGTAAGTAATATAATAGTTTAGATAATATCAAACAAATGGGAATTTATTTACCTATTTCTACTCGCATATGAATTTATATAATTATCTAGGATTGTTAAACGATTTTAAGAATTTTATAATATTAATAACAAACTTTGATATTAGAGTATATTATAAATATAAAATCAGCCTTACAGGGTATCTTTTAATGAGAGATTAAGGTAGTTAATAAATTATTTGAAATTGATGAGAACTTAGTCGAAGTGTTTTTCAATATTCTAAAATGTGAGAGTAGCAAAAGCCTAAGGGTTCATAACCAAATTTAATAAAATCTAAATTCTATTTAAATTATTACTTATAATCTTTCAGCTAAAAGCTATGTCTAAAAATTTGGATCTATGATTCCTTTGATGATAATTTTTAGATCCCTTTCAATATTAAAACTTCCATTTAGATGATCTTAAAGCACTTTTGGAAATTATGCATAAACATTAGCAGATTTTAATTAATCTATGCAAGAGAAGGACTAATCTTCAATAGTCAATTCCTTATTGACCTTCTTTCCATTTGGTTTAATATTATACATTTTAAATGAATTCGTTGCTCTATTTGCTATAATGAACCAAGTCTAATAATCAATTTTTGGTTTATTGACTTTTTATTTGATAACATAAGCAACGAATTCATACATTTTTAATTGTTTATCAAATAATTCTAGAAATGAATTGAAGTTATTCTCAATTTCATAAACTTTGATTTATAGGATATTGAAATTGAAAGAAGGCTTTAACCATTCTATCATTAGATTATCCCACAATACATAGAGTAATTAAGAGTTTAGATCTTCAATTAACTAAACTTTTTCCTGTTGGGTAATATTATTATAATCTTAGAATTCAGCATAATTACTTTTTAAAAATGACAAGTGATCATTCAAATATTTGGTTGGCAAATGGATCATCAATACACTTGTGATTAATGATTCTAGATTTTTATTTTTGGTAATATAGTCATCCTCTTCCTTTTGAGGAGAACTTACAAGAAACTTTGATATCTAAATTTTACTGTTTGATCCAATTTAAGGTGTTTATTTCTTGCTTGATTCAGGAGTCTTTATTCTTGATTGATTTGTAGATGTTAATCTTAAGGGAGACTTTGACTTACCTTATGTTGAATTTGGGTTAGGACTCTTAGGTAAGATTCCAAGAGTAAATGAGTAATTGTGTTGGGAGCTTTTGTTTTTTTGGTCAAATGATGGATAGTTACCAATTTATTAGGATGAAAGTTGTGAATCTAATTAATTGTACAGTTCAGAAAGTGAATCATCTATTGCATTAATCTATTAATTGATATCATTTGTAAATTCTTGAATATTTTTATCTTTGATTTGCATCGCATTGGCAATCATTTCTTAATAATCATTTGTCAAAACAAAGTTAATTAAGAATTCAATCTCCTATTTTATTTAATAATTTAAAATACTTTATTCTCTAACGTATATGTTGACCTATTTTTTATCCTTTCAAATTCATCATGATAAGCTTTAACCTTCAATTATGAACTTGAATCGTTGAGCGACTTATTTTAAACATTGCTTATTAAAGCTTCACAGTGACGATCAATAAAACTAAATGCCCTACTTTAGATTGCTTTGCATTATTATTAAATAGATCTGATTATTTATTCCTTATTCTTTTTCATTGAGTTTGAATTAATTAGTTGTAGATACTTTAATTCAAGATCTTTATCCTTTTGTTAAATTTTTTCAATAAAATCCTATATTTCCATATTTTTTTTAGTGTGACCATCGTGATCAGGAAAACAACTTATGCATCCTAATTTATTAGTTTGGCAATCCTCTTATAAACAAATAAATTGGATTAGTTATTGTTTGTGTTTATTGCATCTCGTTCTCATCATTTTTATATATATAATTAAAATTAATTACATAAAGTAACTCATAAACCTATGAAATTACTTTAAATGATATATCGATGTATTTCTTATAAAATCAGTTAATTCTCATATAGTTTTGTAGTAATTTTCTGATCGAAAATTTTCCTATATTAATTATCAAATTCATTGTTATTCATATTTTCTATTATTTTAATCAAATAACTATGGATCTAAAAAATTTACAGAGAAATGTCACTAATAAAACGCTTTTCCGAATTGCAATCAACTTTTAATATTACTCAATTTTTCAATTTCTATTTTAAGTACTTATAATATTTTTATTAATAAAACTTCTTAAATCTCAAAATTATTATAATATCTTTATAAAATTTAAACTACAAAAAAGAAAAGAAATTAATATGTAATTGCAAAAATGTATATCTAATTTAAACTAAAATTTTATCTCTTCTTAGAAGCAATGACAAAATTTATAATGGAAATTGTCTAGCCTTCAATTATCTAACTGATGAATTAGCGATTTATTATTAACATTCTTTTCCATAATTAATATGAAAAATATCTTAATAAATTAGATTAATGAATGAATTTTTCGAAAATTTAGTGTATATTGATGTGAATCAAAAAGGCGATTTTTATTTGTTACAATACATCCTATTTATTTATAATATTGCTTTTGAATCTGCTTTATGTTAGATCAAATAGTACTCTAATAAAAATATCATTATAATATGACAAATCAAGATTGTAAAATGACAATTCCTTAATTTGCATCTAATATTTCAATAATTTTATTAATGAATAATAACTTATTAATAATAGTTTTTTTTTCTGCTTGGACTCTACTATTTCTATTGATTTTATTTATAGGATATTTGCTAGATAAATCATATAAATTAGCATCTATAAGCCCATAAACAAAAAGTATTACTCCTTCGTGTAGCCTCCTTACAATTAATCCAATAATGGTTCCTAACGCACAGAAACAGCAAACAATTAGAAAGGTTGATGAAGAAGTCAATATTTTAAACAATAACTATGGATAATAAAATCAATAAGTTAATTAAGAAAATGGACAAGTTAACTTAGAATTAAATACAAGTCCAAGAAGGAGGTCCAGTGATAAAAAATCTCCTTCACGATCATTGAAGAAATTCTAAATGTAATAAAGTATAGTAAAGAAACTCAACATTGGCACCTATGATGGAACAGACACATTATAATCAACTAATAGAAAAAGTGTCCGATCACGACCCTCAGTAGTTAATAGTGAAAGGAATAGTATTTAAGCTCAATCTCCAGGTTAGAGAATAACGAGCACTCCTAGAATGTCTTCAATCTCAAATTTCTAAATCAGTGGAAAATTACTTGTAGACTCTATTTATAAAATTCCTAAACCATTAAAAGATTACTATGTAAAATATAGTAATAACATTAGAAATGCCATTAATTATCAAAGATATATTTTACTCACAAGGATGGAATTTCAAGAACCTTTATGACGTTTTAAATATATTTTAGATAAATTACTTGTTTTGAGATTTGTGGATTATTGTTAATTTACACACAGAACCTATCATTTTACATCATTATGGGAGCTGCATGTGGTGGATATGTGGTTTTAAAAGTATTGGATTATCATTTGATCAAGAAAATTAGCAAAGGTTTTTGGGTGTAAGCACTTAAAATTATAAATTATACATTTTGGTTGTCTGTTTTTGCTGCTTTAGTTTTTGGTGTAATTTGGTTTGAAATCAATAATTTGTTATGCATTATATACTATTTGCCTGCATTGATTATGGAAATAATAGTAGATCCATTGAGATATTTAATAATAAAATATTGTCTGGCAGAATCAAAGAAGGTTCAGAAATAAACAGTTGATTAAGTAAATGTGCTGAAAGTAATGGAATAAATTAAATGATTATTGTTTATTATAATTAATTTTACAAACAATTATCCAATAGAATTATTAAATGATTCAATGATATAGAGAAATATAATAAGGTATCTAGGCAAATTTAAATATAATTTAATATTTAAAAACAATAGCTAAATATATTAGGTCAAAAATGAAAAACTAAAGTTCTTTCAACTAGAATAAATTAAATGAGAAAAACAAGTTCTCCTTATTTTTAAATATCTCTAATTATTATTATGAATAATATATAATAATTAGAATGATCCATAAGGAAGAACTAAAAAAGTAATTCAATGATTTGAACTTATGAAATATATGAGTTTGAATTGAGATAAATATTTGAAAAATCTAATATTCATTCAAATGAGGCCATTTAATAATTGACTATTAAGAAAAGTATTTGAAACCAGGACAATGTGAGAGAGTAGATTATGAATAGGCCTTCAAATATACAGAAATAAGTCTAACTCCCTGATAATTGGAGTATATTATTTCCTTAATTATACATTTTTTCAGGATTTACCCATAAACTATTATCAAAATGTTATGAGTTATTTTTAATAAATCTAAATGATTGATTTTTGAATTGTTTAAAATAACATATTTGTGTTTATTCAAATTCATCTTCTCCAGTTTCTAATTTAATTTTATTGAATCAATACCTTTTTTTTATTGATTTCTTCATAATGTTCAATACACCTCTATTTCTATTATTTTCAGTTTATTCTGAATCACCAACGAATGTAGCAGATATTACTTTTTCCTATAGATTTATTTCAATGATTTACATTATTGTTTTCCCCAATGATTTACACAGTAACACCATCAAGCTTTTCGACACATGCCTTAGCATCTTCTACTCTAGTAAACCTAATTAAGCCAATTCCTTCTGGCTGTTCAAAAGTTAATAATTCAAATTACCTTCACTTGTCCAAAGTTATCTCTATCCAATTTGCACATATTCATAGGTCCAAAATCTTTGCAAGCTTCCTAAGAGAGATTATTGATTTGGATACTTATAAACCAGCTTCTGTCATTTTTGGATCCAATCCTTTTATAATGACATTAGGTTGAATATTTCTAGGATCTTTAGATCTTTGATTAAATTTTCTTGTTTGCAATTGCCTTCTTCTTTTACCAGTAGCCACTATCCTGTTTTCAGATTAAAACGGACGCTTAGTTATAACATTGAAAAGTCTACATTTTATCTTTATTAATCCTTGTTTCTCCATTGCTTTCTTTAATTTTTGAATGGTTGATTATCTCTTTGGTTTCTTCTATTTCTGTCATTTTTATTTGGTCTAATATTTTATCTTCTCCTTTAATTATTTTGATTAGCCTAAGGCTTTTTCTTTTCAAGATTCACATATTCAATCTAATCCATTATTTTATTTAATAAAAAAATCAATCTGCTTTTATAGATTTATATATCACAGAAATAAGTATCAATTCCAAATATTAATTAAAACTGCTCTTCAGCATTCCATTTCGAAGAAACTGATTACAAAAGTATGTTCAGGCATAAGAATATCTTACAGAACTATTATATTGATCATACTCCGATAATAGTATGTGCTATCAAAATAAATATATATATTAATGAATTTCAGATTACAAAATTGGTTCTCAAACAAAGAACAAAAATATCTTTTTGGAGCTGTAGGGATCTTCGCACTCTATGGCTTGACTAACTTTGTTTCCAAATACAGAATACAGAGAAAATACGACAAACTATGCGAAAGAAAGAGAAATGAACTCAAACGATCTATTTAAGAATTCCGAGAATCGTAGAATTTATCTACAGGTTTGACTTCAGAGTTGGAAAAACAAATATTAAATTCCACTATTGCTGATATTAAAAAAATATTGTTCGAAAAGAAGGCAACAGTTAAATAGGTGTTGTTGGTATTTATTAATAGAACATTATCTGTGGCTACTTCAGATAACTTGAATCTGATAACCGATATCAACTTTGCTGAAGCTTTATTAGAAGCTGAGTAAGTTTATAGAGTGATTTAATTAGGAAACAAGATTAAGAAATTTCTTAGGATCCTTAAATTATCTATAAATATGATCTTTTCGGAATACCTGTTTCGGTTAAAGATACTTACATTCACAAAGGGTTTGATAACACTTATGGATTGGCTTCTCGATTATTTAAGCCAGCCTCCTATGATGGGATCTAAGTCTCTTTAATCAAGAAAGCTAGAGGTATAATATTTGTAAGGAGCAATCTACCTCAACTTGCTATGACTTTTGAATCTATCAATCGAATATTCGGCAGATCTCTCAATCCTTGGAATAAGGATAGAGCTGTAGGTGGGTCTTCAGGAGGAGAAGCCGCATTACAAGCTGCTCGTTGCAGTATTATTGGTATCGGATCAGATATTGGTGGAAGCATAAGGATACCTGCTGCCTTCTGTGGAGTTTATGGAATTAAGCCAGGCATTGGCAGATAGACAGAAGTTGGAGAAGGAATCATTGAAAAAGCAGCTAGTGGAATGATTAATATTAGACCATCTAAGGGTCCATTAGGTCGTAGTGTGGATGATCTAACGGTGATGTTGAGAGTCCTATTTAATTCTAAGAATTACTCTGAATTACCATGTTCAGTTTAGGATCCTTATTGGTAACCTCAAGATCTTGACTTTACTTAGAATGCCAAAAAGGATAAACTAAAGATTGGATACATCGAATAATTCAATGATTTATTGCCACCCAATTGCATGAAGAGAGCCGTTTAAGAAGCTTGTTAGGCTTTGGTCAGTAAAGGACATGAAATTGTTTAGATAAATTTGGAGAAAGAATTGGAACATGAATTAGCAGTTGCTTTTCCAAGATTGGTGGCAGCTGAAGGAGGATTTAAGTCCTTTGAAGATAATTTGTAAGGAGAAAAGATCATAGAGGAATATGAATTAATGGAGAGGGGAACTAAGGTTCCAATATTTATATAAACCTACATCTTAGCACCTTTGTTAAGGATATTTGGATAAAAGACCCTTCATGTTATGAGTAAGCAAGCTCATGGTCTAGATGTTTATCAATTTTTGGTGAATTCAGGAAAGCAAAAGAAGATGAACTTTTAATTTTTATAATACTTGAAATCAAATTCAATTGATGCTGTAATTGTACCTGGATTTGGTTGTCCAGCTGTTAAGCACGGAGCATCAAAAGTGTTACCTTTGGCAGCGTAAGTCTTTATTGTTTCTATTTATAGATTATACACATGGATATGGAATACAGTTGATGTTCCAGCTGGAAGTATGCCAATAACAAGAGTGTAAGAGGGAGATGATCTAAAAATTGAAGGAAAGGAAAGGACTATTGATTTAGTGTATGTTATGATGAATCAAAATATGTAAAATGCATAGGGATTACCAGTGAATGTTCAGGTGATATCATATCCCAATCAAGAGGAAATGGTGCTTAGAGTAATGAAAGAAATCGAAGGAGTTGTTAAATTTAATGAGAAACACCCTTACCCATATTGATAAATAATAATATTGGTTATTAATTTCATTGTTATTTTTGCTTTTCAGTTCTCCATTTTTCAAGGTTTTCTTTATTGAAATTTGGATCTACCTTGGCCTTTTCCACTATTTGATCTTCTCTCTCAATGATGAAATTGGCTCCATTGTAGATCACAGTGAAGAAGAGCGCAGACAAAAAGTAAGGAATTATTGCAAATTAAGTGTCTGGTGATCTGCGTATCCACCATCTATAAATGGGTTCAAGAAACTTGACTCTATAAACTCCACTAAGAAGAAATAGATATATGCTATTTACTCTCTCTTTTAGTACTCTCTAGGCACTTTTCTGACTCTTTAGTCTCTGTCAATGTAATATAAGTATTAATCATCTTCAAAGTAGCCTTCTTTCATTAAAATGGGTCTGAGACCCTCTTTTACTTGTTCATCTGTTAATATTTTTTTTTAACTAAATTATCTTAGACAGATTCTTTAAAATTTTAACATAAATAATAAGAATTATAATATAAATAAAATGTTTTTAAATGGGCAATCTTTCGAATAGTTGATCTAAAGGATGAACACCTTTGAGGAAAAACTAAAGAACAGACCTGATATAGTCTTAGCCAAATACTTTAAGATACAGAAGACTAATGATAAATCTAAATGTTCAATATGTGGCAAGACTAATTAAAAGTCAATCATTACTCCTTGCAATCATATATTCCATCCCAAATGTATAGTTGAAAAGATTAAGAACAAGTAATTGAAATGTCAAGATTGTGATAAAACTTATGGAAATCCTCCTTAACCTCCTGGTACATTCACCAAATAGATCATCAACCAATCTTGTTCAGGATATGAAAAGACTTAGACAATAGAAATTGTTTATGATATCCCTAATGGATTGCAAAATGGAATACATTATAGAGGTACTAAACAAACTTGTTACATACCTAATACGAAAGAAGGAGAAGAATTAGCAGATTTATTAAAGACAGCATTTGACAAAGGTCTAGTGTTTACCATTGGAAGATCATTATAGGATGGCCATAAGTATCAAGTCTAATTTAATGATTTGCATCATAAGACCAGTTTGAATGGAGGCAAATATGGCTATCCAGATGCTACTTATATTAATAGAATGATATCAGAATTAAAACAGAGATTAAGTTGAAAATATAATTATTGATATTTTAATTGTTATAATCCAAATCCTATTATTCAATGTAAGATAATTATTTAATACATAATATTTATACTATAAACAAATTCATTAGTAATACTGATGAAGTTGGTGATGATGCTTGAAGGATAGTCTGTTTAAAATTATCGTCTCAGGGACATTAGGTTGTTATGTTTCATTATTGGTTTCTATTTACTCAGTGGCTTAATGCTTCTTTATTAGAAACTTAAAAGTTTAGACTGTTATTTCATAAAGCAATCTGCAAATTTCAAAAATCAAAGTTATGATTTCACAAAATACACATATTAAAACCAAAGATATAATAACCCATCCCATATTGATTTTAGTTTATTCTTCCATCTTATTCAATAAGTCATCAATAGATAGCAGAATTGTAATAAAAATAATCAAACTCAATCCTGATTCTGAGATTAATTGTTTATACAATTGCCCTTTACTTTCAAATGGATTTGAGTAAAGAAGTAATAAAACACCCGAGGAACAAGATATAAAGCAGAGTGTAGTTTATAAAAGAGGAGTGTAGTAAAAATAGACAAGACAAAAAATATAGGTTATCTTACGAATGAGTCCAAAGAAATTAAATTTGAGTCCAAAAGTATTTTCAATGTTAATATTCTCAAAGTAGCACCCATATTTTTATTAGAAAAGAGGAAATTCAGCTAGACTTTTATGAATACCTATAACATAATATGACTGTCTTAATTAATATATTATTAAGACACAAAATGATAGTGCTAGAATTGTGTTGATTAATATCATCTTATGATAAAATTGTTTTCCAAAAATTAATTGAAGTGTAATAGCCATAGTTAAATCTAATAGACACAGAGTTATTGTCTGTTTAATTCTACTCTAAAAACTATTAGACACCATTTTTAGCTTTTAAACCAAATATTAAGTATATTTATTCGATTTAGTTAAATATTAAGATTATTTTTGATAATGCAGTTGAACATCCTGTTATTTTTAAATTGAAAAAGTTGTATGATTATGTAATGGAACTTTTTTTTCGAAAAGCTTATCTATTACTTTGAAAAAGAATTCAATTATCAAACTGACAAAGTATAGTATAATGGATGTAAAAATAAAGAAGGCTGGTACTTAAGCATTATTAATAAATAGTGGATCAACACCTTTTTCAGAGAATCTTGGAGGCGATTCAAAATAATAATCACAACCTGGCTAATTCAAATTTTAATAGGTTGGAAAATTGACTATTGATGACCAATCACTATTCAAAAATAAGATCTAAACATTGAATGGAAAATTAACATTGAAAAAGTAGAAATTGTTGATCCAACTCAGGATTTCCAGGACTGCCCATAAATAATCAAATAATCCAAATAGAATTGAAAGTGGAGCTAGAATCCAAATTAATAAAGATAGACTAGATTGAGCACTAGAAATAGCATCAGCCTAAGCTTATTGACTATCATCTAAAATTATTTATTCAATTGGATCCACTTAAATTTCCTTATATTATTAGTTTTGTTCTTCCAATATTCTAGTATAAATTTCTTGAAATTATATATAGATGTGTATTAGATTGGTTTTATAAATCGATTTGAAGAATTAAAATTAAATTTTACATCCAGTGTCACTGCTAGTAGAATTATAGATAAACTGCTCTTTATCGAAACCATCAATAGATACTGTTGTTTTTAAACAATTCAATTGAATATACGAATCTTGAATTATGCTGAGATCGTTGGATGATAATCCATTAAGACGTTTAACTCCAATAGAATATTATTCTTAAGGGAGTTCGGAATTACACTCTGAATCACAGCCATCTCCATCAATTATATTGCCGTCATCGCATTATTCATAATACTGAATTTTGATACCATCTCCACATTAAGGAATACATTTCTTAATTTCATAATCTGTATATAAGCCAGGTATAGCCTCGCATTTTTAGCAATCATCTCTATAGCATGAAGTACAAAGAGCTGAATCATCTTTACACGTAATGCAATTATCATCACATATTAAACAAAAACTACTTACAGCATAATAACCGTCAATACACTATTAACAAACTAATTGATTATCTTCATCAACTATGCATTTTAAACAATTTGAATCGCATGTCCAACATAATGAACTATCTTCTTGTATACATTTATAACCAGGTAATATAACACAGTTTTGACAACCTTCATTAAGAGGATTATCGCATTATTCAAAGAATTCTTAGTTTGTTTAGTCTTTATTTAAGAGACCATCACCACAGATGGAAAGACAATCTTGATTTTCATAAAGAGTGTATCCAGATTAACATTACAAACACTATCCTTGATAGCAAAATGAACATTTATTATTACAACTCTGGTATGCGAAAGTCAAACAATTTATACATACATAATCTGGATCTTAGTAGATACTATCTAATGTTGAATAAGAGATATCAATTTCACAAACACTCATTTTAGAATGTTTTTGAACCTCCTTAGAATATGATTGTACATTATTGCAACCTATAATTAGAAGATAGCAATTCAAAGTGATTAAATCAAGATAATAGCCTTGCAGACACTCATAGCAAAGCCCAAATTTGCAACTTAAACATTCTATCTAACATTCTCTATAATCAATACTACTCATTTAAGCATTATTTTGAATGTCTGTAGAACATTATTAATCATCACTGCAACCTATAATTTGCAGATAGCAAATCTAAGTTATTTATTCAATGTAATAGCCTTCCATACATAGATAACAATTCCCCTCTTTGCAAATTTAACATTCAACCTAACATTCCCCATAATAATTACTACTCTAATTATCATAATGATAGATTTTTTCTTAGATATCTTCTTCATTTTCAAAAAACTTCTAATTTTCATCCTCTCCTTCTTAATTGAATAAACATATGCCATATACGCAGTTTTAACAATGCTCTTAACATTGATATTGACAACTAAAGCATCCATCAAATGGATCCATATTTCCATCATCACATTACTCTTCATCCACTACAAATCCATCACCACAAATTGGAATACAGGGATTCAAACCTTTTTCATAGTTAAATATGTCAAATCTATATTCTTTTGTGCAATAAAACTCTGCTGTTATAAATAAATTCTATATAGCACAGAATGCTTATTAGACTTATTTAATTTGATTATTACAGTTAAATTATATTATCAAATACCTATTTTAAATATCGTCCTTATTTACTATTTAATCAACTTAAAAAACATAATCTGGTTTTATGTCACCCCAAATCTATGTATTTTGTATTGGATTCGATGTTTGTTTTGTTAATATAACATTATTCTAATAATTAATTTAGTATTAGAAATCTCCAGGATCAAAATCATCTCCCAAAATAACCTGAAAATTAACTCTAACTTAATAATAGTATTTTGGCATCTCTAATTGTAATTTGAAGACTGCATTTACCCAAACTAATGCTCCTCCAAATACCTTCTTGCCTGGGACATATGAAAAGTATATATCACTTCCTTTCGCAAAATTATTACTACCCTAAGACACCAATTAGAATAATTCATTTACTCTCTCTTTTGTGGTAGAAATATCATAAAACTCTTTAACTAAGTATTTTATTTTTGACTTTTCTTTATCAATTACTTCTTCATCCAAATCTATGCATTGAGTGCCAACCATCTTTGAATATGGTGGGCAATCTAAAATACATTAACCTTTATATAAAAAATATGATAATAAACAAGCATCGCAATTATAATTATCAGCACAAGAACCGCACATCAGGGAACATACTTCCTATTCTAAGTTTATATTTGAAACAGACCATGATAATGTTTGATCAACCAAATTGTATGCATTAAAGGAAAGATTTACAACCTATCCAGTAATGATTTGATTTAATTCAATTCTTACTGTAAATTTATTTTTACTTGAACATATTTGGTTAGTTACATCCGAATATAATATAATACTATTCTGTGTTGTTACGATTAAGTTATTGAAATTAATGGAATCTATAATTTATCCATTTACTTTTATTTAAAAATACTTATCTGGCGTCCATGAACCAAATATATTAATTGTGGCTTTTAATCTAATACCTATTGCTGAGGGATCTAAATTTAAGATTGTGTATAAAACTTCATCTTGATAGTATGGTAGATATGATTCTACAGGATTGCAGCTAATAGGTGATCTTATTGCAGGATTTAAATTAGAAGTTAGAAGTAATTATTATGATGTCATTGGCAATAATGTATTGAGATTTAAAAGATTTTTCAACACTATTTAGGATTATAATTTTACTTAGGTTTCTTTAACAAACAAGCTGTTTATCATAACTATAACCTTCAGGACATTCCATTAAACAACCTTGAGTTTATAATAAAAATCTCAGATTTTATTAATCTTCACAAGTTTTACATTATTGCAATGTAGGTGTGGGATTGATTGTAAAGCAACTTAAACATTAGTTATAAGCTTCATTTGAACATGTTTTACATGTGTAATGGCATTATTTGTAGTAAATTTATAAATTTCTGAATGGATAGCCTTCGTTAGGGAATGGCTCATTTATATTCGTAAAGAACGATATCGTTAATTAACTGCTTGAATGAACAAACTCAACAATTGAAGTAATCATATCATATCTGTCTATGTTTGGATCACATTAATTGCTAAAAGGTAAAAATCCTGCTTATTCCTTAAAATATGAATATATATTGGTGTTATCTGCGCTAATATCAGCAACTTCGCCCCCATCAATTGTCATAAAAGCAACGAAGTCAACATAAAGTTAAACACTATAATGGGGTGGAATATTTAAAATCGTTTTTTCTATCTTATTACACTCCTGGCTCAATTAAACTAGATCCATACCATTAGGGCAATGGTAGATTAATGACTCAGAATCGCTCGGCTTGCATTTCCAGCCTTAAGAACCAAAGCCTAACGAATTAAAATCTTCCATTAATAGATTTAGTTATGCAAATGAGAAGTATAAGCAAATCGCCACAAGCTTATATTGGATAATCATTAATAATATTATTAATTAGTTATTTAGCAAATTTTATATTAAGACAATAAAAATGAATAATCTGTATTATTCATTCCTCCATAATTTTATAAAACTTTTTAAATTTGATTCTCAATTTAATTATCAAATCAAATATAATAACTATAATTGATAGAAAAAAAATCTGTACTTTATCTTTGGTTTTATTAATTAAGCCTTGATCCTAAGCTTTAATTAAAAACATTATATTGTTTGGGGCTATGAATCTAACTGATTCCTCATATTGTATTGATAAGTTAACTTGCTTAACTTTATTACGTTATTTTACTTGATTAATATTAATAGTCTGCTAAATCCATTTTATCATATGCTTATCGATTCCTAAGTTCTAGAATTCATGCTATATGAAATAGGATACTTGAATAATAGAAATCTAAATTGATGACTATTTATAAAATATTTATAATTAATACTTCTAAAAAATCCTATATAAATTTATGTTGAATAAATATCTTTCATATAAATTATGTTAGATTTGATGTTAAAAAGAAACAAATCAACTTGGATACAACTTGGGTATGATCAAGATATCTATATGTATATATTTACAATATATAAAAAAAATATATGGGGAGAAATATAATTAATAAAAATAAATGGAATCGTTGAATGAATATGTATTATAATTTATTGAATAATAACGATGCCATCGTCATCCTTTAGAGAGAGCAAAAATGATAAAATTAAAATGTAATTTTCGTGATTCATTTATTTGCACTTAATGTATAGAGATTGATAGTCATCTATAAATGATGTCTATAAAGCGAGCTTCAGATTTGTTAACTAATTTCATTATGTTTGAGTGGAAATAACCTTAATAAAAAACTCAATCAATAAAAGATAAATTACAATAATTTACAGATGTGTTCAACAATCTGTTACAATAGTTGGAGACCCAGATTAATGAGCGAGATCAAAAATCATAGAATTTATAAAAGAATTATTTCTAGAAGCTGAATGAAATCGAAAGATTAATAAGGCATCTCACTAGTGATTCTTAGGCCGATAAAAAAATAAAAGATGTAAACTAAATGGAAAGACAAGTTTAATTGTCTGATAATCTTAAATCATCACTACTTTTATTACTGTAAAATGATGAATTGTTATCAACATGCAATTAAAAAGAACACACTTTTTTTAATTAAAGATTAGAAAAGAGACTTAACATTCTAGAAGACACACTCTAAGATATGACTGCACAAATACAATAATAAATGGATGAATTCAATCAAAATATGTAGAATATTTCAATGTCTCGTAAACTATCCAATGCTGAACCTTTTATGGGAACTTAATCAATCTTGGCATCTCCAACAATGAATGCAAGTCCAAGTCAAAGATAGCTATTTTTATCGACTTTCAGTAGTCAATTGTCTAAGACATTTCTCAATCCATTTACATTTAAATAAGTGCATTCGTAGTTCAAATTAATCAGTCCAACCAGATTACTTGTACCTCCAAATACAGGCAATAAAACAAATAAAACCAGATTAGCCTTAATAGGACCTCGTTTGTAAGAAGGGCCTCTTAAACCACCGAAATCAATCACATTTAGTATCTAACAATAAATATTATAAACATTTTAAATAGGAGTATGTGAGACAGGATCTGTTGAATTAGATCCCACAAAACCTCACAAATTGTTTTTGGCTTCTAAATTCCCCTTTTTCAATAGGGGAGATCAGCTTACCATAACAGTGAATCCTGCAACTGGTTTAATTCAATTAGTGAAGAATAAGGCATTTAATTAGCCAGTTCAAGCTGAACTATAAATTGATTGTTGGACTAATATGGTCTTTGTGGTGGCATCCTCAGATTGCGGAGGTTCAGGAGAGATACACATAATATACGATGAATGAGAATCTATATATTTTTACAAATAAAAAGATCGTTAAGGCAAACCTTAAATTATTAATAAATAAATTTAATGTCTTAAATCAATTTTGAGAATGAGGGTTATGAATATCAACCATCTGAACATTCAGAAAGAGAGTAACCAACACCAACTAAGCCAAATCAACAACTCCTATAGTAGTAGCAATAAAGATTCACTTAAGAATCACTTGTATACAGTGCATGTAAGATAATAAATTCAAATCTTCTTTAGCATCTTAGGATACAAATCGTATATTTCAGTCAGTAAGTTCACCTAACTTCTAAAAAGGGCCATTAATCCTTGTGAATAATGAATAGGATTAATAGTAAAATCAGGTTCTACTACCCAAATAGTAAGTTAGTAATTAAAATATGCCAAAAGTGGTTCAGATAATAAGGCCGGACAGTTCAAAGAAATAATAAGTATAATCTTCAAGTCCTAATAAAACACCGATTTAAGAATCAAAATTACCTCAATTTGTTTAACAATCTCAACAATCTCAGATGTCCTAACTTTCACAATAGCAATAGCAACAATAATCTTAATAATAATCCTAAAGTACAGTGGCAGAGTTGGAATAACAACTAATGTAGGAAAGATTGAATTCAGAACAATTAAGAATTTATAATCACATTATTAAAATGGAATTAGAGAAAAAATTGTATAATTAGGGAGTGTTTATAACTAATTCAAAAAATAAGAAAAGAAATGAGAATGCCATCGATATCTATTTAGAATTGTAACACAATAGAGTGTAGATGTAAACTATTTAGAATGAATTTAAATAGAGAGATCAAATTATATAACATTTAGAAAATTAACTTAAATAATCTAATTAGATTAATGAATTAATGAAAAAACATGACAATGAATTGTAATAACAGAATGAAGAGTTATCATAATCAATGGAAGAGGCCATGAAGAATATCACTCATGCCAATTAGACAATTCAACAATAAGAACAAGAGAAGGATGCATTGATTGATCACATTGAATAACAAAAAGAATAGATTGAATAATTGCAATAATAAGTAGAAAAGTTGAAATTTGAGAATTAAGAAAGAAAGAAGTAATCAGAAACATCAAATGATCAAATTAAAAAAATGATACAGATATAAGAAAAACTTGGTTAGTTGGAAGAGGAATTGCAATTAAAAAAGAATGAAGTTGCTACTGCAGAGAATTCAAAGAAAGTATAAATATGTTATATCACTTAAGCAATTATAAAAGAATATTTCAGATAAACAAAAAGAAATCATGAGTTTCTAATTACAATTGACTGAGGCCAATAATAAGTTGTTAGAGTGTGAATAGGCAAATAGAGAATTGAGTAGATAATTTAATTAAAGTGTCTACTAAATGTCACAACTGAAAAAGTATCTTACAACATAATATTAGATAAACTGAAGAATAATAAAGTAGAATTGAAAATTTGGAATAGTTAAATTATGAAATTGAAAGCAATATGACTAAGACAGGAAGACAAATTTGTGAAGCTGATAGAATGATGAATGAAAAAGAATAGTTAATTAAAAAATAATAATAAGAATTGGAGAATATCTTAAAATAAAATGAAGAAATGTCAAAGGAATTCAATCAACTAGTTTAAGTACATTAATAATTTGGGGCTCTCAATGAGAAACATCAATAATTTTAATAAAAATATGAACTGCTTTAGAAAGAATACCAATAGAGAAATAAAGAATTTTAGGAAGCATCCTAATAACTTGAAATCTCTTAACAAGAAATTCAATAGTTGAAGCAAGTAAACAATGAACTCTAAAATGAAAGATAGCAAATATTGGAAGAACTTGATATCTTATAATAAGTTAAATATGAATCAGAATAAACTATTTAGCAATTAAAATTTGATAATAATGAATTATCCTTACTCTTGCAAGAAAGACAAGAGTTAAGTGGTAAATACCATGCTTTGGAGATCAAATTCTAAGCAGATATAGAATATTATGAAAAGTAATTATATATTATGATTGAATAGGACAATAAAGGAAATGAATGAGAAAATGGAGTTGTCCTAGAATACGTCTCCAAATATTGCTTTGGAAGAGAAGAGATTGGTAGAATTGCACAAGATTTACGAAAAACTCGATAGATTGCTATTCCAACTAACATAAAAAATCTCAACTGAAAAGCCATCATTCAAAGTTGATGTAGTAATTTCATAGTTAAATGGGTCAATTGAATAAATTGAAAAGTATTTCAAGTTGTCTGGCAATCGATCCTAAATAGACAAATTTTAAAATTCTTAAGGATCTATGATCATTGATCATAATAAAATGAGTACTAATAGGCCATCTGATGCGGATATATTTAAAGGCAATGACATTACTAATATTAAATAAATTTAAACATAGCAAACAGTAGCAAAGAGAAGATATTTTCTATGAATTATTATTCTATGTTTATTATAAATTTAATAGAAAATTGAGAAACTTAGGTACATGACTTAATATTTCTTTAATATGAATTTTCATTAATAGAATTCAAATAATTCTTCAACGTAATTAATACCGTACTTCTCAATTACTTTTGCTTTTTCAATTATTTGTAATAATTAATGTCTTGCATCAACTGGGAACACAATGGTGAATTCTACTTGTCCATTTTTTACTCTAAGAGTTATGAAATATATTGTACTCCAAATCATTGTATGATAATAAATAGGATTTATTTGCTGGGAATTCATGGAAAAAGTCATCTACTTTGACTTCATTGATCACCTCAGGTTTATCAATATTTGCATAATTAATTAATGAAAGTCTTGGATCAATACCGACAAGTCTAAATTACAATACATATGTGGAATTTAATTGGAATTGATAGATATCCATAAAGGTAACCGGCTCATCTCCAACATAGTCATCTCTGACCTATAAGAAATTAATGATATAAATTACTTTAATAGCATTATATTCTGGTTCAGGCAACCAATTTTATCCATCATAATAGGATCTCATATCAATTGTAAAAATAGTTGGCTTTGCATCTCCACTGTTGTTGTTTTACCAAAGAGCAATCAAATGAGGATGTATCCAATTGGTAACATTGACTAAAGTGTAAGATAAGGTGTCTTTGACTTGGATAATATAGAATGCCTTCTGGGCTAGATGGGGTTTGATTAACAAGATTTCAGCTTGTCCGACTTCGAAATCTTATCCATAAATAACGTATGTCTCTTCATCAACTTACCAGTGAAATAGGTCTGTCTATCCTGTCTTATTTGGATAATTATATTCAAAAACAGGACTCATGTCAAATTGGGTGTCTGATGCGTAGGTTTGAGGGATGATTCTAATTATGAAGTGACATGTGTTATTATTTGAATATTGTTTTTCCAAATCTTAAGTGATTAAGTATCTAATCTTGTCTGCATCTCTGTCTAGAGTCATGAGACGAAATTCTATCATTATATAAATGTATTACTATCAGCTAAGGTTTCCTTTTATTACTTCTCACTGTTTTGTTTAACCACATTGCTAGCAGCGAAGGTAAAGGATTGGTTGATTTTACTAGTAGTAAGATCCAACAACTTGACTTTCATATCATCTGGGTCAAGGTAACTCAAGGTCCTAATAATTACTTTTAAATAGTACATTGGGTATATTTGAGAGAAATACTTGACATCACTAGTGATTTGTCCTCGGCCAATGATGTTTTGTGACTCAATATCGTACAATTCGTAACAACCGCCGTCGTAATAAATAAAAGCTTGATTTTCATTTAAAGGGATGATCTTATCAAAATATCTGCAATCAGCTTCAGATTTCATCTTGACGGATGATGAAAGAAGAATCTTGAGTCTTAAGTCATCTTTACGTTCCTACTATATCATTTGATTTGGATTAATAAATTTTATTCAAAAATAGAGATACCTTTTTTGTTTAAAAATACTCTACATTGAGTTAATAATTCTGTTGGAATTATAAAATAATTTTTACATTAATACTCAAATTTTACATCCGCATTCTATATCTAGATTCTTAAAATCAAAAATAACTGCCTCGTTAATCTTCTCGTATAATTTTATGACATCCAATTAATAAATATCACATTCATTCTACAAAAGTGAGCATAAATTAGGAACTGTTCTATCTAAATCTGAATGGATGAACTCTTTAATATAAGTACCTGCACTACTCAACACATAAACTAAAAGCCATTTCTCATTAATTTTCTTAATTAATAAAGAATGGATGATCTTATCTCTCACCATTTGAGTCCTTCTGTGTAATACTCTAATTGGGGTTTTCTATTTGATGACTAAATCCTTGATTTAATTGGCCTATTCTATCAAATCTGCATTGATTGCGTTCTTGCATTCAACTACACAACAATAAGCTTTGACTTTGTTTGTTTCTGAGTTCTTCAACTCTCCAAAAATGTTGGTGTCAGTATAAGACAATGGAGTTACTTTTACTACATTTTATGAATTGATCTTGGCTTCTATTTAATTAAGGATTTCTTAAGTTTAATTAAGTACTCCTTGATGAGGATCTACCAATTCGATAGCAAAAGGTCGACCATTTCCTAACATTCTTACATCGATATCTTCTCTGCCTCCTGAATGAAACTTTACGCTTGAAGGCTTAAATATCTTGCAAGCCTCTGCACTCACCAAATCTTCAATTGAATCTTCGTAAATCTTATTCCCATCTATTATCCATGGAGTCTAACTTATGTATCTTCCTAATTTAATGTAGTTTCCTTTGATAAAAATATTCTAATAGCTAGTTGATACTTCTAACTTAACTGGATAGTTAACATTTACTATCTTATATGATGATATCTAGGCGTTGGTTAATTTAGATATTTTCTCCAAATTACTTTAAGTTGGCAAAAATGGTTGAGATTATTGATTTTTCTTCTGCATTAATCTATTATGTGTTTCTGCCTTCAGTTGAGGATCATTCATTTTTAACTAAATTAAATCATAATCGTACTTTCTTTGTGATCTTCTCCTCCCACATCTGATCATCAATATCTGATATTATTTTTTTAAATTATTCAAACTATTTCACATCATCCCCAATATTCTCAAAATTTAAGCATATTTAAAATCGATCATCATTTGCATCACTAGGAACTTTAAGTGATTCACTTAATAAACTGCACATTATCCACTTCACGCAAATCTTAATATCTGTTGCAAAATTTGGAGTTCTAATGTATTCATATAATGGATCAATCTAACCAATTTCTGAAATGCATTGATTTACTATTATTATTTATCTAATTTAACAACCAATTGGTGTTTTCACTTAAAATTTAAATGCTTCGAATTAATATTACTTTTTTTATATCTCATCCACCAATATTGCTATAAACTTTTAATCATCCACACATTGTAATATTCCATGACATACTACACATTTATTAATTTTATCAAAGGTGTGAAAAGGGTTTTTAATAAATTAATCTTTTAATGAAGAATGACAAGTTTAAGGCTATACATCAGAATCTAAAATCTCAGCCTTCCTTTTATAGAACAAGAAATCGTACTCTTCTACTAATTTCTTAACTTATATTAAATTATTTACATTTTCATTTCCAATCAATTTTCCTACATCAAACAACAATTAAATGAATTGTTAAGTCTCCCTGTATGTACTAATCTCGGTAATTTTGAACAATCTCAATATACATCTAATACACACATCTCTCTCAAACAATTTATTAAACAGAATTGCTTTGGATTCACTTAATTACATTATGTATTTTATATTAAAATAGAATTATCAAAGTATACTCTTCCTTTTTAGACACAAATTTACATTATAGAGTTCTTATATTAAATACTATATTTAATAATTAACTTGATAGAAGAATAGGAGATTTCTTCAGTTTAAAGTTGAATATTCAACAAATAAGCAAAATATTTATTGTGAGAATTAAAAAGCATATATTTAATGTATAATCAACTTTTTGTTATACAAATTAATAAGAATTGAACTGATATTATTTATAAGTCAACTTAATAAAATGCATTAATCATCTTTTAATTATTCTTTTAACTCCAAACACTACTCTTAACTTATCTAAAACATTAATACTCACATTTCATACTTAAATAGGTTATTAAAGATTAGTTTGCATATAAAATGAAGATTTTTTATCTAGAAATGGATGGGATTCACATAGCAAATCTTCTGATTGTAATTCATTTATAAATTATTAAAATTCTTCTTAATTATTTATCTTTGTATCCTCATTGATTCGCTATTTAAACAACTCATTTCTTTTTTTAAATTATTCTATTGTTTCCTTGTGTCTGTTTTATAATTGAACCAGAGATTATTTCATGCTCTCCAAAAGATGGGGCTTTATTTGATATTGACCATTTTGCTTTTCTGATAAGCATATTTCATTTTATTTCTCCTGTTCTGGTTGATCTACATCATATGCAAAAATTTTAGTAAGTAAATTAATCTAATAGTTAAAATTTTCTATGAGTACATTTCTTCGATACTTTTGTAAGGCCTCCTCTCTTTCAAGTCCGTGTTGGTCTTTTGTATTAAATTTCAATTCAATATGGCTTTAATTTGGAAAATCTTTGAAAGTTTAATTATTGGACATGAAAATTTATATATATATTAAATAATTATCATAATTAATTAATAAATGGACCTTGTAACAAAGTAGGCATAAAACAATAGAAAAATCCCAGAGGCCATTTTCTTTGAAAATATTGATGAATTGATCTCTAAGAATTCGATCCAAAGATTGATGGAAAGCTTATAGGAAGCATATAAGTATGAATTAATTGAGTTTAGCAAATACAAATTTATGGAAGCATAACTTGTCAAGTAAAGAGAATCAATGCAAAATAAATTACCAGAAATTGAAAGAGCTTTGAGCATAGTAGAACATTTGGAACACTAAAAAGAAGATGAAGTTGTTGACTTTCTTATTACAGATACTATTTATTCAAAAGCTGTTTTACCTAAAGAAAATAAGACTGTTGCCCTTTGGTTGGGTGCCAATGTTATGGTCGAATTTGAATTCAATGAGGCCAAAGCCCTTTTATCCTCAAACAAAGAAAATGCCAGTTCGAATCTTAGATAATTTGTATATCCCTTTTATTGATATAGGATGAAGACATAGTGTTCTTAAAAGATTAAATCACTACAATCGAAGTTAATATAGCCAGAGTATACAATGCTAATATTAGAATCTAATAAACATAATAATAATAATAGCAATAGCAATAAGCAAAATGAAATGTATTTATTTAAAGTACATAAAAAAATTGTATTTCATCTACATTATTTTCAAATTCATTTAATTCCCTCTCTATTCAATTTTTTTAGCATGTTGAGATTATAATTACAGTTGCTTTTTATAGACCTTGAATGTAAATTGAAAATCTTTATGTTATCATAATAGATATGATTAAAAGAAAGGGATATTTATTGAAGTCATATTTCTTAAATTTCTTTAAAAAGATCTTTCCTTACAAATGATTCTACTTTACCTTATTTTATCTCTATATATTTAAGAGATATTAAGACTATGTTATGTTCATTTCAATGAAACAAAATTCTACTTTTTTTCAGATAAAATTCAATAATATTGGTTTTGTTATTTTATATTATCTACAGAAGGATATTTTTTTTATAATTCCATATCTTTTAATCCGATTTTATAGTATTTGAGTAATAATTTAGTTGTAAGTTTGAAATTCTATTTTTAAAAGCTCAAATATTTGAGTTGAATTTAGAAACAATCATTTTTGGATTAGAGGTTATGAGAAGTTTTGTGTATAATTCATGAATCCAATCAGATTCTAGATAGAGATTATAATTTAAGAATTAAATGAATTTATATAGTTGAATAATATCAAAAAATTCAATAAAATAGAGTAACTTAAGCCCCTTATTCTTCAACTTTTGGACCTTGAAATGCTTTCCTTAGTTTTTCTAATACCAATTTAGATTATTGAATAAAGTCGAATATAAATGATACAGCCAAAATTGATGTGGATGTCAAAATGTGTAGCCATCCTAAATTAATCGAATTTTCTAAGGTCATAGACATTTCTACTCTGTAAGCATAAAATAGAAATGTGATAGTATTGAATATGATCAGCGACTCGGTAATGATGTTTTTATAATATTCATATTAATTTGTTAAAGGCTTATTTGCAATGAGATAACACAAAAATAAGGTCTAATTAATTGCTATACATAGGGTTTAAAGTTGGCCTTCTTTTTACATAAATACTATCAAACTAATGAAAACCATTTTTTTAATAAGCAATACAGCATTGAATTGGGTAACCCATACAGATTTTGATTCTAAGACTCCTTCAAACAATGCATCGTATTTATTTTTGACTTTAAGTGTTGAAGTACTTGAAAAGCTTTGCATTACATGAAAAGTATAAATTGAGATTGAAATGTATGTAATAAAAACAAAAAGAGATAAATAAGAGTTGATTACTAAGACTGAATCTTGACTTTGAAAATATGACAATTGAATCGTAGTGGCAAAGCAAACATCATAAGAATTTGACATGATTATTCTAAGAATCCCATTATAATAAAATTATTTAGATTTCTATTTTAAACTTCTTCTTGTAGAATAAATTAATTTTCCTATTGTTAGATTCATTTTGGAGACATAATATGGCCCAATTTTATATAATACAATGTGAATATATTTAGTGGCCAAGTAACCTCCAAAGGCAGAAATCAAACAAAAAAGAAAGCTTTAAAAGTTTGTAAAAAAGTAGGCGTTAATATCATCCTTTTGAAATTTATTCATCGTTGGTATGAAGTATGTAGCATCTCCATCTAAGGAGTTAAAAAATTTATCAATTCCAAAGGCTGACATTAGAGGGGAAATAGTAATCAATTTAAAAACATCAAAATAAATATTAAGATTGTTTGGAAATTGGATGTTGATGTATTTAATGTAGGATAAGTATTATAATTAGTCCATGAGATTCCAAAATATATCTGAAGAGCCTGTTAGCAAACATAAGGAGGATAATCCTGCCAATGAGTAGATAACAGCTTGATTGAAGGCTGAAGCACTTTAAGCAATGGCTTTTTATGCTTAACTTAAAACTGATGGGGTCAGTAAGACTTAAGTTCCTTAAGGTTCTTTGAGAGTTAAGTTGAATTCAGAGAGTATAGGATCATCAATGAATGTAATTTAAAAAACAGGACTATCAACAGGTACAAAGAAGTTAATTCTAAAATTTAGATAAATTTCTGTAATTTCATCTGATTGACTTGCTTTCATCACAGATTAAGTAATCTGGAATTCACTATTCTCCATATTAAGGATGTCTGCGATTACGAAATTTGAGATATCATTATTTATATTACTAGCAAACTTCATTTTTTGATCAAATTTAATTTATACATCCTCGAAATCTTCTGGAGTTTTAGTTAATAAATTAATCGTAAACGAAGGTTACTTAGAATAAAAGCAATTCGAGAAGGTCCCCTCATTGTTAAAACACACAAAATCATTTTCAATTAAACATTATGTATTACATCCATCTCCATCATCAAAATTACCATCATCACAAGCTTCGGCAGATTTCACAAAAAAACCATCTCCGCATTAAGCAGTACAAATGTTCTGTTCTACAAATCTCCCTGGTTCACATTTTTGACAAACTCCTTCCAAACAATCTGCACAATATTAATCACAAGCTAATTTACACTTGTAGCAACCATCATTAAAATCGTCATTCATATCATCGCATTATTCATATCCAATAACAACCCCATCTCCACAATAAGGAGTACATTTGTGTTGTTCAACTACCCAACCAAAAATATCACATTCATAGCAAATACCTAACTCACAAGTAGTACACATTTCTTCACATTAATATTAACACATGAAACAACCATCGAATTCTACAGTATTGCCATCATCGCATTATTCCTATCCTTTAACAACATATCCATCACCACAAACAGGAAAACAAATATGATTTTCTATATCCCATCCTTATACATTGCATTTATAACAAACTCCTAATTAACAATCAGTACATTCTGGCTAGCATTGATACTTGCATTCAAAACATCCATCATATGGGATTGAATTACCATCATCACATTCTTCATCTCCTATTACAAGTTTGTCTCCACAAATAGGAATACAAATATTCCAATCCAACTACCAACCTAAGGTATTACATTCTTCACAAAATCCTTTAATGCATCTGGTACACTGTTTTTAGCACTCAAAATAACATTGATAACAACCATCTTCTCCAATATCATTAGCATCATCACATTACTCATTTCCTATTACAATCCCGTCTCCACAAACTGGCTAGCATTCCCTTGTAAGTGTATTGATCTCCCAACCAATTCCAGTACATTAATAACATAAACCTTCTATACAAGTTGTACATTACTTATGACATTAATAATTACAATCAGAACATCCATCATCACTAATTTTGTTTCCATCATCGCATTGTTCATTAACAACAACTATTGCATCTCCACAAATACCAAAACAAGTGTGGGTTTTAGTGTTTAAATAATATCCATTAAGACATTGATCACATTTCCCTTGGTTGCAAATATCGCATTAGGCATCACAAGAAAATTAACAATTAAAGCATCCATCATATGGCGTATTATTGCCATCATCACATTCTTCGTCCATAGACTTTATTCCATCTCCACATAAGGAAACACACTAATTTTACAATTCATCCACTTTACCATAACCAGAAGAGGTGAGACATTTTTAACATTGTCCATAAACACAAGAAGAGCAATATTATGGGCAGTCAAATCTATTTTAAAAACAACCATCTTATGCTATTAAATTTTGATCATCACATTACTCTTTCCCAACTACAATGCCATCATCAATAATTTCAAAACATTTATTAGAAGTCATAGAATAGCCACTAATACACTTTTAACATTATCCATTATAACAAGTCAAACATGTCTCTTGACATTAATATTAGGAGAGATAGCACCCATCATATACTATCTAATTATAATCATCGCATTATTCAGAACCTACAATTAATGAATCTCCACTTGTTGGATAACAATATTTTTCCAAGGAATTTAAAGTCCATCCTTTATTACATTTCAAACAAAATCCTTGATAACAAATTTTGCAAGATTCTTAACATTAATATTTGCATTAATAACAATTTGCATCCAGTAAATCATCGCATTCCTCATAATCCGTTATTTTAATACCATCTCCGCAAATTGTTTCGCATCTCATCTCTAAAGGATTATACATCCATCCAGTTGTATTGCATTCTAAACACCCTTCTTTTTAACAGTCAGAACATGAATCTTAACAACTTAATTAGCATTTAAAACAACCATCATATTTAACGATGTTTCCATCATCGCATATCTCATTACTAACTACCAGCCCATCTCCACATGTTGGAGTACAAACATTTATCTTTGAAATTAAAGTATAACCAGAATCGCAATATAAACATTTACCTTTTTAGCACTATGTGCAATTGGGTATACATGAATATTCACATTTATCACAACCATCATTTGGATTCTCATTATTATCATCACATGATTCTACTTCAAGAGTAACTATTCCAT